AGGTAGAAAGTTAAAAGTGAACATAGATAAGAGTAAGATAATGAGGGTATCAAACGATTTAGATAAAGAAAAAATAAATATCTCATTGGAGGGAGGGATAATGGAAGAAGTGAATGTGTTCAGATATTTGGGAGTTGACTTGTCGTCAGCAGATGAGTTTATGAAGAATGAGGTTTACCATTAGAATTGATGAAGGAGAAAATGGTGAGTGGTGCATTGAGGTATATGTGGAGGCAAAGAAGGGAATGTACAAAAGTATAGTAGTACCATCACTCTAATTTAGGTGTGCAGCATGGGTTGTAAATGCTGCAGGGAGGAAGTGGCTGGAGGCAGTGGAGATGTCCTGTCTAAGGACAATGTGTTGTGTAAATATTATGCAGAGAATTCGTACTGTGGAAATTAGGAGGAGGTGTGGAGTTACTAAAAGTATTAGAGGGCTAAGAGGGGCTGTTAATAAGATGGTTTGGTCATTTTAAGAGAATGGAACAAAGTAAAATGACTTTGAGAGCCTATGGGAAGGAAGGTGGGGCAGTGGTCGGCTCACGTACGCTTGCTGGAAGCCCAAGCCCCTTGCCCACAAAATCTGTACACTCTCCCTCCAACCTTCTCGAGTACGACCCCTAACCGTCCTTCCTTCCCCTACCGATTGATACGCTCTCCAGTATATATATATATATATATATATATATATATATATATATATATATATATATATATATATATATATATATATAACAACACTGCACTAGCCAAGGACTCGAACCTATGCTGCTTTGGCCTCACGGTGGGCGAAAACGCATGACGCCCTTATCCACTGGACCATATGATCCTTAAGAGTAGGGCATCCAGCAGAACTGGATGTGGTACTCCCTACCCAAGAACACACGATGGTGTGGATGACTCTAGGCTAATTTCCTTCCAGTCCCTGTTTAGTGTAGTAGTTCAACGAGCAGTATTTTATATTATTGTGACCACGAACGAGTGGTATTGATCAATAACAACACTGCACTAGCCAAGGACTCGAACCTATGCTGCTTTGGCCTGCCTCATGGTGGGCGAAAACGCATGACTCCCTTATCCACTGGACCATACGATCCTTAAGAGTAGGGCATCCAGCAGAACAGGATGTGGTACTCCCTACCCAAGAACACACGATGGTGTGGATGACTCTAGACTAATTTCATTCCAGTCCCTGTTTAGTGTACTAGTTCAACGAGCAGTATTTTATATTATTGTGACTACGAACGAGTGGTATTGATCAATAACAACACTGCACTAGCCAAGGACTCGAACCCATGCTGCTTTGGCTTGTCTCATGGTGGGCGAAAACACATGACGCCCCAATCCAATGGACCATACGATTGCTAAGAGCTAGTGCTGTGCTGTTATTGATCAATACCACTCGTTCGTGGTCACAATAATATAAAATACTGCTCGTTGAACTAGTACACCAAACAGGGACTAGAATGAAATTTGCCTAAAGTCATCCACACCATCGTGTGTTCTTGGGTAGGGAGTACCACATCCAGTTCTGCTGGATGCCCTACTCTTAAGGATCGTATGGTCCAGTGGATTAGAGCATCATGCGTTTTCGCCCACCATGAGGCAGGCCAAAGCAGCACGGGTTCGAGTCCTTGGCTAGTGCAGTGTTGTTAATGATCAATACCACTCGTTCATGGTCACAATAATATATATATATGTATATATATACATATATATATATATATAATTATTTATATATATTTATATATATATATATATATATATATATATATATATATATATATATATTTATATATATATATATATATATATATATATATTATATATATATATATATATATATATAATATATATATATATATACATATATATATATATATATGCAATAAGATCACAGTAAACAGGTGATTTCAAAATATGCAAAACAACCACTCTGAAAGAATAGAGAAATTCCAAGCGCTTTCGTGACTACTCACATTATCAAGGAACTATGATAATGTGAGTAGTCACGAAAGCGCTTGGAATTTCTCTATTCTTTCAGAGTGGTTGTTTTGCATATATATATATATATATATATATATATATATATATATATATATATATATATATATATATATATATATATATATATATATGGCGTAATGACAGTAGTTTGTTGGACTTTATATTGGTAGATAAAAGACTGTTGAGTAGACTTCAGGATGTACATGTTTATAGAGGAGCCACAGATATATCAGATCATTTTTTAGTTGTTGCTACAGTGCGAGCACAAGGTAGATGGGATACAAGGAAACTTGAAGCAGCAAGTAAGTGAGGCGAAGGTGTATAAACTAAAAGAGGAGGCAGTTAGGGTAAGTTATAAACAACTATTGGAAGATAGATGGATTGGTGGGAGTATAGGCAATGGGGTTGAAGATGTATGGGGTAGGTTTAAGAATGTTGTGTTAGAGTGTTCAGCAGAAGTTTGTGGTTACAGGAAAGTGGGTGCATGAGGGAAGAAGAGCAATTGGTGGAATGATGATGTAAAAAGAGTAGTAAGGGAGAAAAGGTTTGCAATTGAGAGGTTTTTACAAAGTAGAAATGATGCGGAGAGTGGGTGACATGTTATCAATAAATTTTGTTGAAAATAAGAAAAAGTTTTGGAGTGAGATTAATAAGTTGAAGAAGCCTAAGGAACAAATGTTTTTGACAGTTAAAAATAGGAGAGGAGAGTTATTAAATGGAGAGTTAGAGGTATCAGGAAGATGGAGGGAATATTTTGAGGAATTGTTAAATATTGCTGAAGATAGGGAAGCTGTGATTTCGTATATAGAGCAAGGAGGAATAACATCTTGTAGGAGTGAGGAAGGGCCAGCTGTGAGTGTCGCGGAAGTTAGTGAGGCAGTGGGTAGAATGAAAGGGGGTAAGGCAGCTGGGATAAAGACTGAAATGTTAAAAGCAGGTGGGGATATAGTTTTGGAGTGGTTGGTGCTATTATTTAATACATATATGGAAGAGGGTAAGGTCCTTAGGGATTGACTGAGAGCATGCATAGTTCCTTTGTATAAAGGCAAAGGGGATAAAAGAGAAAGCAAAAATTATAAGGGAATAAGTCTGCTGAGTATACCTGGTAAAGTGTATGGTAGACTTGTTAGTGAAAGAATTAAGAGTAAGATGGAGAGTTATATAGCAGATGAACAAGGAGGATTTAGGAAAGGTATTGGGTGTGTAGACCAAGTGTTTACAGTGAAGCATATAGGTGAACAGTATTAAGATATGGGTAAAGAGGTTTTTGTGGCATTTATGGATTTCGAAAAGGCATATGACAGAGTAGATAGGGGATCAATGTGGCAGATGTTGCGGATGTATGGTATAAGAGGTAGGTTACTGAAAACAGTGAAGAGTTTTTATGAGGATAGTGAGGCTCAGGTTAGAGTATGTAGGAGAGAAGGAGATTATTTCCCAGTAAAAGTAGGCCTTAGACGAGGATGCGTGATGTCACCGTGGTTGTTCAATATATTTATATATGGGGTTGTAAGAGAAGTGAATGCGAGGGTCTTGGCAAGAGGTGTGGAGTTAAAAGATAAAGAATCAAACACAAAGTGGGAGTTGTCACAGTTGCTCTTTGTGGATGACACTGTGCTCTTGGGAGATTCTGAAGAGAAGTTGCAGAGGTTGGTGGATGAATTTGGTAGGGTATGTAAAAGAAGAAAATTAAAAGTAAATATAGGAAAGAGTAAGGTGATGAGGATAAAAAGATTAGGTGAAGAAAGATTGGATATCATATTGGAGGGAGAGTGTGGAGGATGTGAATGTATTCAGATATTTAGGAGTAGACATGTCAGCAGATGGGTCTATGAAGGATGAGGTGAATCATAGAACTGATGAAGGAAAAAGGGTGAGTGGTGCACTTAGGAGTCTGTGGAGACAAAGAACTTTGTCCATGGAAGCAAAGAGGGGAATGTATGAGAGAGAGTCTAGTTGTACCAACACTCTTGTATGGGTGTGAAGCATGAGTGATGAATGAATGTTGCAAAGAGGAGGAGGCTGGAGGCAGTGGAGATGTCATGTCTGAAGGCAATGTGTGGTGTGAATATAATGCAGAGAATTCATAGTTTGGAAATTAGGAGAAGGTGTGGGATTACCAAAACTATTATCCAGAGAGCTGAGGAAGGGTTGTTGAGGTGATTCGGGCATGTAGAGAGAATGGAACAAAGCAGAATGACTTCGAGAGTGTATAAATCTGTATTGGAGGGAAGGCGGGGTAGGGGTCGCCCAAGGAAGGGTTGGAGGGAGGGAGTAAAGGAGGTTTTGTGTGCGAGGGGCTTGGATTCCAGCAAGCATGCGTGAGAGTATTTATTCGGAGTGAATGGAGGCAAATGGTTTTTAAAACTTGACGTGCTCTTGGAGTGTGAGCAAGGTAATATTTATGAAGGGATTCAGGAAAACTGGCAAGCCGTACTTGAGTCCTGGACATGGAAAGTACAGTGTCTGCACTCTGAAGGTGGGGTGTTTATGTTGCAGTTTCATAACTGTAGCGTAAAGCACCCCTTTGGCAAGACAGTGATGGAGTGAATGATGAAAGTTTTTCTTTTTCGGGCCACCCTGCCTTGTTAGGAATCGGCCGATGTGTTAAATATATATATATATATATATATATATATTATATATATATATATATATATATATATATATATATATATATATATATATATATATATATTTATATATATATATATATATATAAATTACTGTTCCTTTTACATAGTTTCTGGGATCACTAGTAGCTTCTGGTCATCTGTGTAACTCCTCATCCTGAGAGTTTTTCTTCTGGCTCTTACTAATTGGTTCTGCTCTTTGAAAACTGCACTTAATACTTATGGAATTTCACTCTCTAACAGCAAGATCAAGGTTCTCATATCTTTCATTCAGAATTCCCATAAGCTCGTCCGTAATCTAGGCAGGATTCAATTGGCGTCCATGATTCGTCACTGACGTACATTTACGTCGCAACTTACCTGTTCGGCTCGCTGTAAGACTCGCAGGAAATTACCACCGGCGAGCTTTGCTAGGTCATCCTCAGACCAGCGGGGATCCTTCAGCACCTCCGCCAGCAGCGTAGGATACTTACTGACGTCCTCCAACCCCAGCGGCGTCCTGTGAAGGAGAGGAGGGAAGGTGAATCTGAGATCTCCGTTGGAGGTATAAGGAGAGGAGGCGACCTGTAGGGGTGAGAAGTAGGAGGCGTCCGTGGGAATGGGAAGACCTGGGTGAGCGGTGCACTGGTAAGGCAAAAGGATAAAAGATGTAAGAGTGGAGAGGGAGGAGACGAATGGTGATGGAGGAAGGATGAGGAAGAAAATAAAAGGAAAGAGAGGAAGGAGCACGATGACAGGAGGGGGGCGGGGAGGCAGAGGCAAACGTGATGGTAGGGAAGCTATGGTAAGATGGAAGATTTGAACAAAGGGAGAGAGAGAGAGAGAGAGTTGATGTAGGTAACAGCTCATACCTTGTAAATAAAGTTAGGAACCGTAAACCTAACCTTGTAAAACTCTGTGTAAGAGAGAGAGAGAGAGAGAGAGAGAGAGAGAGAGAGAGAGAGAGAGAGAGAGAGAGAGAGAGAGAGAGAGAGAAATTATCTCAAGACACAAAAGTATTACTACCTATGTTTGGGTAAGAATAAATAGATCAGCACTGAAGTTGTGACTCTCATGGTTGAATATAACTCAATATTCACTATGAAGATTCAAGTGGTAAATCTTGCAATCAAGGCTGCCAAAAGTTTATTGCGCTAATTTGCATCTTCCACCAACTTGATTGCTGAAGTTGCAAAACTACATAAGAGGCACAAATTTGGCTTCTCCTTAAGTATCTTCTTCATCTCTGATTTCTGGACTAGATTATTATTATTATAATCAAGGGGGAGCGCTTAAACATGTCGGATTATACAGCGCATGTGGAGGGGGGGGGGGAATGGAAGGTATTCAGGCTCAATCCAGGGAACTAGAGCACAGATCCAATTCCCTGGATCAAGAGCCCCTCACCAGCGACAAGGAACCTCCATGGAGGGGATTTCTGGATTAGAGAACTGCAAAAGGCAACTCCTCTCTTGCCTGGATTAAGTGTTATTCCTTCCCCATGCTTGACCTCGCGAACAGCTAGAAGGCAGCTATTATACAATGCAACAAGCAGCCATCAGCATGTTCACTTTGAACCTTGTCAAGAACTTCATTAGCGGTCATTCATTTCTTGAATGGCTCGCATTTGGAACATATTCTTCGAATATGCAGGAGCTCTGAGCCTCTCAGCTGTATGACCACTGTGTATGTCAGAGCTTTTGGTAAAGATTGGATGGAAGTTGTATGTTTGATGTATGGGTGCACACAACACTTATATCTGAGTACACCCCTACACAGCAAGCCACTAACACCCTACTTATATTTATAACACCCAGAAACACTACCACCACTGCCTGTCACCACTACCAAAACCAACAGCACCACCAACCATCATCACCACCGCCGCTTTCCCTATCAACACTACAACCATCACTTACCACTATACTCCTCACACTATCCCTTCACCACAACCACTACCAACAATTTAATCACCACAGCCCTTAACAGTCACTACCAAAACCACAACTACAACCATCACCACCAACCAAAATCAGCATTACTACCCACAATCATCAGCACTCACCAGCCAGCGCCACCACAACTACAACCATCTTCACATAGCTCCTAGAACCTCTCCATCCACTTTAAGTTATTCAGAAGAATTTGACTTGCATATAATATTTTTGTAAAGCCTTAAGACCACCCATCTAAAATTACAGTCCTCCATTTTCTCCAGGAAATTTAAAAGAAAATAGCTGACTGAGAGTCCTTCCAGCTGGGAACGTTACAATTGTCAAATTTGTGTTATATATATATATATATATATATATATATATATATATATATATATATATATATATATATATATATATATATATATATAATATATATATATATAATATATATATATAAATATATATATATATATATATATATATATATATATATATATATATATATATATATATATATATATATATATATATATATATAATATATATATATATATATATATATATATATATATATATATATATATACATAGTATATTATATATATATATATATATATATATATATATATATATATATATATATATATATATATATATATATATATATATATATATATATATATATATGTTTATATCAATAAATCCAGTAACAGGTGATTTCAGAATAGTAAAACAACCACTGAAAGAATAAGACATTCCAAGGCTCTTGTGACTACTCACATTATAAGAACTATTTCCTATAATGTGAGAGTTCACGAAAGCGCTTGCAATTTCTCTAATTCTTTCAGAAGTGTTTTTTGCATAGTATAATCTAAAAACATTTTAATTATTATATAAATATATTATATAATATATATATATATATATATTTTTTATATATTATATATATATTATATATATATATATATATATATATTATTATATATATATTATATATGTATATATATATATACATATATAATATTATATATATATATATATATATATATATATATATAATATATATATATATATATATATATATATATATATATATATTATTAACAAACCTGCTGTCTCCTACCAAGGCAGGGTGGCCCGAAAAAGAAAATCTTTCGTCATTCATTCCATCGCACACTTGCCAGAAGGGTGCGTTACACTACAGTTATAAAACTGCAACATTAACACTCCTCCTTCAGAGTGCAGACACTGTACTTCCCATCTCCAGGACTCAAGTACAGCCTGCCGGTTTCCCTGAATCCCTTCATAAATATTACCTTGCTCACACTCCAACAGCATGTCAAGTCCTAAAAAACATTTGTCTGAATTCACTTCAATCAAACACGCTCATGCATGCCTGTTGGAAGTCCAATCCCCTCACACACAAACCTTCTTTGCCCCTTCCCTCTAACCTTTCCTAGGCCGACCCCTACCCAGCCTTCCCTGCACTACAGATTTATACACTCTCAAAGTCATTCTATTTTGTTCCATTCTCTCTACATGTCCGAACCACCACAACAACCCCTCAGCCCTCTCGATAATAGTTTTGGTAATCCCACACCTCCTAGTAATTTCCAAACTACTAGTTCTCTGCATTATATTCACACTACACATTGCCCTCAGACATGACATCTTCACTGCTTCCAGACTTCTTGTAACAACATTCATCACCAATGCCTCACACCCATATAAAAGCGTTGGTATAACTATACTTTCATACATTCCCTCTCTTACCTTCCCTGGAGAAAGTTCTTTGTCTCCACAGACTCCTCAGTGCACCACTTACCTTTTTCCCCTCATCAATTCTATGCTTTGCCTGCTGACACGTCCACTCCTAAATATTGGATACATATACCTCCTCCATACTCTCTCCCTCCAATCTGATATCCAGTCTGCAGTTTTTTTTTTTTAGAGCAAGACGATAGATATTTAATGACAGTCCATGAACAATGATTTTCAATTATTTTCTACTTTTTAAATGTGTGGTATGCTAAGAGTATGTTACATTTTATTGGCACATGTCACATTCCCATATAGGCTGCCTCCCAACCAGCGAACCGGATGCTAAGGATTTAATGATCAATAGGAGCCCTGTCGTTATATCAGCACATCGGTTCATCGGCCAGTGTGGTTCACTTGAGCATTGGCAGACTTCGCTAGGTTGCTAGTTGATCACGGTGTTTTGTCTGGCTTCTTGGTTTTTGCTTCCCTTGATCACAGTGTTGTCCACTTGCTCTTACATTACTGTACATATTGTAAATAGTGTACATACGTATATACGAGCTTGCTTATTTGATGAAGGATATACAAGTCATATAACTTCTGTTTTTCGCTTGCTCTGCTATTTAATCAATTACAACAATGTGTGCAGGCCATTCTACACCTGTGTTCGTAATAATATGGAAAAAAAATAAAGCGCTAAGTCCCGAGTGGTGGAGACTCGACGCTCCGTTCACTAATCGTGGCTCTGTCTATGACCACTCTGAGCAGTATTTCAGAATAAAAAGATATGAAGACTAGAGTTGCCAAAAAACGTTTTGATGCCTTTCCGAAAAGACCCCTCGACAAATTTGTAAATCCAAAAAAAAAAAAAAAAAAAAAATTTAGCGATATTCTCAAATATTTTGATAAGTATTTACAAAAATATTGACAGAGGAATGTTTCCAAAACACTCAATGTTTTTCTTTTTAACAAGTTATATAAAAATTGTTTTGAAGAGAAATTTCAAAAGGGTTTTGATAGTGTTTTGAAAAATGTTTTGAGATGGTGTTTCCAAATACACGGCCCTGAATACCGCCTCAGTGTTCCTGTGACGTTGATTCAGACATTGTTTACTGCCTTGTGAAGACTTTCCCAGAGCTTTTCATGTGGCCTTATGAAAGGATGTTTAGTACGAGGCTCTCTTATTGTACCTCTCATCCACTTTCTTCTCTCTCTCTCTTTCTCTCTCTCTCTTTCTCTCTCTCTCTCTCTCTCTCTCTCTCTCTCTCTCTCTCTCTCTCTCTCTCTCTCTCTCTCTCTCTCTCTCTCTCTCTCTCTCTCTCTCTTGTCTGCTCCTTTGCTTTGTTTCAGTCTCTCTCTCTCTCAACTCCTCCAGACATTTCCTTCAGCTTCCATTCTAATGCTAATCCTTCACATGTGTCTTGCGTTACATCACTATGTTTCTTGGCTTGTTATCTGTATCCCTCCATGTTTGTCATAGCATCATTGTCGTTTCATGGACGGCTGATATTAATGAAGGTGTGGGGGCGAGGTTCGTATGTGGGCATGCGGTTGATATGTGGGCGTAGGTCAGGGTGTCGTCTCAGTCATCTTGTTTACCCGACCCGACTGATGGTCACTTGGGGGTCTTCAGGAATGCTGTCGTCGCGCCTCTCTGATGTGTTGTTTACCTACACACTGACGATGACCTTTCAAGAGAGAGCAGTGGCAGGTACTGTCACTCGTATCCAGCGAGTAGGACGAGGGGAAACTGCAGGTAGAGAGGGAGCTGAGCTGGAGGACGAGGAGCAGGTGGACAAAGAAGACACAGAACTAAAGACTTA